GAGAGAATTACGATAAGTCAAGTGCTCATGATCAGTAGAGAAAACTTAGGCGAAATTGTAGGAGATGTAGCGGGAAGGATTTCGACAATTGGGGAAATCATAACTCTAGGCTTTTCTAATCTTGTCTCCAACCCTTAATATCCCTAGTTATTAATATATTACTTTAATTTGTTAGTGAATTAGTTAGACATAAGAATCTTAACATTTATAAATTAGAAATTGTTCGAGCTTGTCTTTTTAGTGATATTGAACAGTTACAGTGAAACCTTAGTTTTCTGTGGGATTAGACTCCGGACTTTAGACCGGATTATATTTGCAGCAACCGCTTATCCTTTTTAGGACTATAGTTGGGCGTGATCAAATTATGGCGCCGTTGCAGGGTAACTAACAGTGCAGTTGCAGCTGTATATATTGCTAGGTTTCAAGTTTGAACTTTTATTTTGTTTTGTTTTATTTTGTTTTTAATTTTATATTATTCTAACTGTTAATTTGGGAAACATGACATCTTGGAATTATGGGAGGTTAGGTGTCGATAATTCTACTATTGATCCTCATATATATTGTGAAGGAAACCACCAGTGGCAAAATTATCAAAATATTCCCGAGAGCAAGTTATGTGCACCAATTCAATCTTATTTGTGGAATGTGTGTGATGTGTGTGGTGGTCAAAATGGTCACTTTCATGGTTGTGCTTATATTTCTTATCCTCCCCCAATCCCTTACTATGATGGCTCTACTTCTTCTTGTGAAGTTAATAGGAACAAAGAACCCGGGGATGATGACCTGAAAGAGATCAAGGATATGCTAAGGTACCTTGTGGGAAATAATTATGAGACACAACTGCAAATACAAAGATAAGAGGCAACTATTCGCAACTTGGAGGCTCAAGTGAGTCAACTAGTTGAAGCATTTAATGTTCAACAAGTTAATACTATGGATACTAGCCAGGAGCAGTGTGCATTAGAGACAGAAATGGAGGTGCCAAATGAGGGGTCCAGAGTAGAACACCAACACTCTAACCAGCTAGAATTTGATGATGTCAATGTTGAAGAAATGATACTAGAGTCAGGCAAGGACATTGAGGATACAAATTTAGTTGACTCTAGTATAATTTGTGTCGGGGAGGCTGAAAATCTTGAAGTTCAGGTATTTGAGCATGTCGAGCCTCATTCCAAATACTTCTCTACATTATGTTCGGATAGTAAAATGAGAATTGATCCTTATGAGCATAAAAATAAGTCAACGGAAAAGGTAGATGAGCCTTATATTTTGAAATTTTCAAGGCCGTCTAGGCAAGGTGACACCCCTCGGTCGAGAGCCAAAAGGTGCATGAGAGTTTACTTAATTTTTGGCTCACAAGAATTTGTACCGCCTCAGGAGCATAATCATAAGCTTGAATCAAAACTTGGGGTTCAATTCATAAGCTCGAGGTGGAGGCAGAAAGTGGTTCACGCCGTGCCGCGGCGTTAAATCAGGCGCTTGCTGGGAGGCAACCCAACTTTACTTCTTTCTTTTATTTTTAATTTTTTTAATTATTTTTTTTACTTCTGTAGTGTCGTTTTTATTTTGTACGAGCATGGAATGCAAAGGATGCAACAGCAAGCCAGATGGTTAGAACTAAGTGTGGGGTGCCCGCACAAAGAAAAATACCCGGGGAGAAGTCTGAGTACCCCATGAGCTGCTAGTGCTTCGGCATTTGGCCTACCAGGGAGTTTTTTGTACCCCTTTATTATTTATGTTGTGCATTGGGCACAATGCACAATTTTAAGTGTGGGGTGAGGAGATTGTCTAGGTGACTTTCTATGCTATTTTAATTGTGTTAGTTTAATTGATGCTTTTTTTTAAAAATAAAAATTGAACTTCTCCCAACGATGGATCTCCTAGACGATTTTCTTGAGGGATTAAAGTCTAAACAAAAGTACAAAAAAATTGAAAAATAGAAAAATACAAAAACATGTCTTTTTATTTTTCTTAGGTAGTAATAATCCCCGTGGTTTTTCTTCATACTTAAGTTCTTTTCCATGAGATGTACTTTGAACCAGGTAATAGTATTTTTTTCTCTTAGAGTAGAGTAGTACTTAGGAAATAAAGGAGAAGAAATGATGTGATTCGCACCTTTTGACTTGTTTGATGATTGTATACTTAGGTTCTGGCATGTGTTTCATCTTCCCTTAGCTTTAAATATATGATGATGCCTTGATAAAAAATGAATAGCATGTGGTATTACTCCTATGTCTCGGTTGCTTGACTTGTGTTCACTTTGTGCTTCATGCTTAATATATCTCTGGGCTTTGTGAATACTTGTTTGATTGAGAGTCGGAATGGGACCGTCCTTAGTGAGTCATGTGCCATGTGTGAAGTGAATTCTTTGTATAGTCCATGTTATTGCATTTGAGTCTAAAACTTGCCCGGAATGTGAATTGAAGCGAAATCTTGCTCGGTTTGAAAAGTGATGTTAGGCTTTATTTGATCTTTTTGAGTTTTGTTGCTTATCACAAATAAAATCATCCCTAGTTACCCTTTTGAGCCTATAAGCTTTTCTTTTGGTACCCGCATTGCAAGCATATCCCATTTTGTTCTTAATTGAATCATTTTAATCCTTATACCTCTTAAATCACTTGAATTGTAAAGAGAGTGCTAGAAAGAAGTAATGAGGAAACTTGAGATAGCTTTTGAGTGGAACCAATAGAAGGAAGAAATGTGCACTTGTATTTTAATAAAACTCCACTAGCGACAAGGCAAAAATACAAAAGAAAAAAAAAAGAGAAAAAAATAGCAAAAAAAAGAATAATTGAATTAATAAAGGTTTCTTATTTTTGCTAGTGGATGTGATCTGAAGCAGTGCGTAAAGAAGAAGGAAAAATATTCTGGGGTGAACTATCTCGTGATGATTGAAGTGGATTGAAGGAATTTTGCGCTTAAAGTTGAATACATCGATGTGTTAAAGTACTTAGAAGGGTTAGCCACTATATCCTAAATATATCCTCCCCGTCCCTTAGCCTACATTACAACCATAATAAAGTCCTAGTTGATTTCGGACCGAGTGGGCCTACATTAGTAGAGATTTACATAATAGGCAAGCGTATGATACCTTTTGCGTGCATGTGACTTCTTTGAGAGAGTGAGTGATTTTCTTCATATGTGTGAGTCCTTAAAATATATCTGATCATGTGATTTGGATGTGCGGACTGCTTGCTCTTTTGTTTTATTGTGAGGGCACATGGTTTCAAAAAGGATAAGTAACATTATTAGACTTCTCTATTAGATTAAGTATTCAAACCCCGGGTGCATTGTGACATGAGTTAGTTTTCGAGGCTAGAATTGTTATAATCATGTTGTTCAAGTGTTGGATATTATGACACTGGCCATAAGTACGGGAAGTGTGTTTTGACCGCATATGCCAGAGCTTAATTGTTACTATCAACCATACTCATGGGTGCAATGTGTTTTGAATGAGTGGCTTGTTGGGTACTTGAAGAGGAAGAGTTTAGTTGGTTGACTCGAGGGCGAGCAACATTTAAGTGTGGGGCGTTGATGTCGTGCTATAATTCCATATATTTTGACGTTATTTACCCTACTTGCTTGTTGTTTGGATACTAATTTGTGTGACAATTGAGCTTAATAGAGTTTATTTTACGTGTAGGAATGCTTGGACATGAAGTGGAGAAAAGTTGCACAAAATGGTACCTCAAAGCCAGAAAATGGAGCAATAAAAGAAGACATGCAAGGCAATGAAAAGTCATGTCCATAGACAGTGCAAGGCTTTGTCCAGGGCACTGTCATTAGCGCCTCTGATAGTGCCTCGCGGGGAAATGTTAGCGCCTCTGACAGTGCCTCGCGGAGTAATGTTGGTGCCTCTGGCAATGCCCCGCGCCGACGATGCGTATCCGAGCCACTTTTATTTCCTCCTTAGTTTTGTACGTGGACACGTTAACACTACCTTATAAATACCTCTTAAAGCTAATTTTTAGATTAGAGGACACTATTTGAGAGGCAAGAAGGCTACGAGACACTTGGAAGCAACTAATCACAAGAGTTTTCTCTTACGTTCTTCCTAAATTTGTATTTTAATGCTTTCAATTATTATCATGATTGTTAGTATGGTTATGAGTAGATAAACTTTCTCATCTAGGGTTTGATGGAACCTATTGGACGATGAATTCTTGTTACGTTTTAATATAATTTTGCCTTTGAATATCTCTACTTGTTCAACTACGTGTTTATTGTTGTTGGTTGAATGGTCATCAATTGATTGTGCCTATTTATTATGTATTGCTTGAGAAAGAGTGCATATTTAGGTTGTTATCGAACAATGTCACTCCTAAGGTATATGAGAGATCAATACGGCGAATTTAAAAGCGGGATTAGAGATAACGAAGTTTTGAAGTGATCATAGTGAGCGGTAAAAAAGTGCTAGCTAGCATAATTCGGAGAATATGACTAGTACATTATTGTAGTTGCTCGAGAGAGAATTACGATAAGTCGAGTGCTCATGATCAGAAGAGAAATTTAGGCGAAATTGTAGGAAATGTAGCGGGAAGGATTCCGACAATTGGGGAAATCATAACTCTAGGTTTTTCTAATTTTGTCTCCAACCCTTAATATCCCTAGTTATTAATATACTACTTTAATTTGTTAGTTAATTAGTTAGACATAAGAATCTTAACATTTATAACTTAGAAATTGTTCGAACTTGTCTTTTTAGTGATATTGAACAGTTATAGTGAAACCTTAGTTCTCTTGGGATTCAACTCTGGACTTTTAGACCGGATTATATTTACAGCGACCGCTTATCCTTTTTAGGACTAAAGTTGGGCGTGATCACATAATTAATCCAATCTTGTTGATATCATTCATCAACCATAGGCCTCTCAGTCAAAATGACTTCTTAATATAACACTCTAGACATCACATCCTCCATCTAGCATCTCAAGCTTAATCTTATTTACCTGTATGTTTCCTAAGAAAATTAAAACTGTAAATTCTTTACCAAGTTGTAATGGAGAAAAAGATGTTCACGACATTGAAAAGCTTTTGTATGAATGAGTCGTAAATGCAACGGGAAACTGCTTCATAGTGATTAAGAAATGAATTATTTCTTTTTTTATTTGACAAGGGATCAAGAAATGGATGTTTACATCAATTGGGCGAAAAAAGTGTGAACCAGTAGAGACGGTCTGCAATGCTGCCCAAAGTAAACCACTCTTCCTCTGGTTTAAACCATCAATGGCACCTTGTTCAGGGCTCAGCGCACTCGACAAATTTTCTGATTGAAAAGGAACCGGACTGAACACAATTCCCTGCAATTACTATCAGAACCACAGTCAATATAGGACCATGCCCACCAAAAAAATTCTGCAGTCAGCCTATAAGCTATAATTAAAAGACAACACTGTAATTTCAAGTAAGAACCTCTAATACCAACAGTCAATAATCATACACAACAAACCTAGAGAATACCGCAGACAATTTTCACAACTATTTCTTGTACGCACTATAGGAATATATTCGTAATATGAGCACCAACAAATAGCGAAAATAAGCATTGTGTACAATACACTGGCACACAGTAGCAGGAAATCAATCCAATACAAATTCTACGGAAACCAAATAAATAAATAAAAAAATGAACTAAGAACCACCATAAGTTGGATGCATTTTTAACAATATTCTAACTCGCCTCCACTTCAACCAATTAGGGATTGGATTGCAGTAAGCCATTCATCTTTCAGACCTTTTTTAAAAGCTCAGGAACTTACCAGAACCTTGCCGTAGGTTTCCTTAGCTCCATCATCAGAGAGTTCTTCCGCAGTAACTGAAATTTTATCAAAAGAAAACTCAAATGCCAAGCTGAACACCATTGAATTTAGAAAGAAAACATAGCTAATGGACCATGTATTCTTTGAAATAAAAAGGAAAAACGGTAATAACCGAAGCGGAAAGCGGTTCCATACTGAGGTCTCGGTTGATTTCGCAGACGGTGACTGAGCCTGGTCGAGGAAATGACGGCATTTTTCCCAGGGAGAGGGAGAGAAAGAGAGAGGGTTTATATTCCCTATCGAGCGTTTCAACTTTATATGCGAAGCGGAAGCGGTTTTGGGAAGAGGAAGACGCAGGTGTGGCCGTATGGCTGTCCAAAGGGACCGGACGGGACGGGACGGGACGGGACGAACATTTAGCCGGGACGGTGGCGGAACGGGACGAAACGGGACGGGATAAACGGGACGAAACGGTAGTCCCATCCCGTCCCGCTAACAAACGGGATGGGACGGGACGGACGGTAGGCTCATCCCATCCCGCTAACAAACGGGACGAGACGGGAAGGAACGGGACGGGACGGGTTCGCGGGCCTTAAGTGTTGTTTTAAAAAAAAAATTATTTAAGCATTGAGTTTGGAAACCGTTATTTTTTTGACAATTACTAAGTTTTTAAAGTTTGCAACAACTAGTTTTTTAAGTTATTTAATAAACTTAAAAAATAAGTGAGAAATTAGGAAACTTAGTAGAGAATTATAAAATATTAAAACAAAAGACTTGTAATGAAATATT